TGTGTGAGTGTCTGTGTGTGTGTGTGTGTGTGTGTGTGTGTGTGTGTGTGTGTGTGTGTGTGATGAAGAATGAAATGAGCCCGAATCTATCCTACCTAGCAAGTCCTTCCTTTGCCCATCAACCACGGAACCTCTGCAGACTTTAGGTTATTATTTCTTTACATACAGGCTCCTCACCTGTTTCCCACTGCGAGCCACTATGGGAACACAGTAACTGCAGAGCATTGTGGGTAATCGGCAAAGCTTAGAGCCTGGGTTCAAGCTCTGCCTCCTCCCCTTTCTGGCTGTGTGGCCAGGGCTACCGCAGGTGGCTCCAGGCTAGTGGTAAGGCCTTGGGACTGTTTGGGGTATTTCAGTGAGCTAATTCACCGAAAGCACTTGAGAGGGTGCTTAGCACATAGGGTTAGCTGTTATGATGATTGTGATATTATTCCCCTTTATTCTTCTCATCAAGAAGGTTAAGCTCTATTGCCAGGCTGGCGTGGCTCAGTGGTTGAGCATTGACTCATGAACCAGGAGGTCACGGTTCAATTCCTGATCCGGTTGCAGGCTCCATCCCCAGTGTGGGGCGTGCAAGAGGCCTCCGAGTGACGCGGCCCCTACTTATTCTCATTGTATCTGCCAATAGAACAACAGTGGCTTTCATTTTGTTGAAATCCTTCCATAGGCAAGATACTTTATGTATATTATTGGAAACCTTCACCAATGTTAACATTATACTCATTTTTATTTATTCTTATTGATTTCAAAGAGGAAGAGAGAGATAGAAACATCAATGATGAGAGAGAACCATTGATTTGCTGCCTCCTGCATGCCCCACACTGGGGACTGAGCCTGCAACCCAGGCATGGAATTGAACCGTGAACACTTGGTTCATAGGTTGACGCTCAATCACTGAGCCATGCCAATTGAGCAACATTATACTCATTTTAAAGTGAAGCAAAAGACTTAGGAAGCTAAGTGAGACATAAAAGCCTCAATAGCAGGCAGTGATAGAAGGAGAATCGAGCTTGGCATTTCTGGGGCAAAGCCCTGCCTTGATCCACTCTACCCCACTCTCCTGGCCAAATTACAATGACTTATTTTGCTTCTGCTGGAACTCATGGTCATTTTATTCAGAGGAGAAAATCAGAAAGACCGCTTGAGTATTTAACAAAAATTATTGGGCAGTTGCCCGGATACACAATTCTAGCCAGGGAGAGAGATGGTGGGGAATAAGCATGGGTTTGCGACTGTTCTTGAACAGCTGTGAAAAGCCAAGAGCAGGAGGCTCACATCTTGAACTGAGTTCAAATCCTGCCTCCCACGTGGACCAGCTGTGTAGTCTACGTTTCCCTGAGCCTCCATTTCCTTATTGCCAAACTATTTTAAAGTGTGTCTATCACATAGGCGAGCAGAGAGTTCAATGACACAAGAATAAAAAGCATTAGGCGGGTAGCGGGCTCCTGGTAAATCTCCGTTCTCTCCCTTCCTTCCCTCAATTCAAACGTATTTTGTTTGTGTCCTTCTCACAGCTATCATCCAAATTAGGCCAAACATGCCACTTGCTTTCATAAAAACTGTGCCCGATGGGAGCATAATGAGTTAAAAGTAGGCAAAACAGGGTATCCTAGGCCCATAAAGAAGCAGACATGAGGCTGTGTTTGAATGCACAAAGTAACTTCTTGGTTCTAGCTGGAAATTCGCTCCACCCGGTTGGAAGACATTAGCTTGAATGTCACAGCTGTGCAACTAGTAATTCCACTGGGAGTCAGAGCTTTATTTCCAAAATAAGAAATAAATCACAACGTTTTCGAAAACACGGGCAGGTAAGAGAGATAGGGCTCGAGAAAGAGCCCTAGGCAGGCAAAAAGGGGAAATCTTGACCAGTCAGACACATATGCAAAAAGAACGCCACGTGAAGATTGGAGTTATGTGACCACTTTCCAAGGGACTACCAGAAGGCGGGAGAGAGGCCTGGAACAGGTCCCTGCCCACACCTTCATCTCAGGCTTCCGGCCTCCAGAACTCTGAGGCAATATATCCTTGTTGTTTAAGCCACTCCGTTTGTTTGTTGAACTTTGTTAGGCCAATCCTAGCAAACAAACACAGTGACTAAAGGGCATGTTTAGAGCACTGGTGGGAGGTTTAACATTTCCAGGCCCTTTGGGGGCGGTGACGGGGTTCTTTTGGATGTGATGGATGGAGTGCTGACTTGGGCCCTGGGCAAAGCCACAAGGGCCAGCTTTATCAGGGTTGCCTCCTGTACAGATCCTGCAAAGCAGAGCAACCCTTTGTTGTGTTTCCAAAGAAGATGGAATAGAGTGAAAAAACATCTTTAGGAGGAAAATTTCTTGTTTTTCTAGATAATAGGTCAGAGGTAATTGCGAGGAACAGGAGTGAGAAGCTCTGTTCTATAAAGAGGCACAAGGGGTAAGTCACAAGGAAAAGATGTTATAGGGCCCAATGCAAACCTATGGGTTTGAAGCAAAAAAACGCACACATAAAAAAAAAATCAGAATTAGCCCTAAAATATCCAAGTCCCTCCTGATAGCCCACAGTAACTTCAAAACCCACTCAGCGAGTGCCACACCATCGTTTCATCTGCCTGAAAATGTGTAGGGGGAGTTTCAGCTTGTCTTGCATAAAACCTTTAGGTGGACAGCATGTGATCAGCAGAACCCAGGGATTCTGACTGAGTCCCGAGTTTACCCTTTAGTTCCATAGCTGCCCAGAATCCGGACAATCCCAGAGTGACTCAGCATGCTGGAGGCCGAAAGCCCACATGACTGTGCTCTGTCTCTCACTGCTTTAACTGGGGGGGGGGGGGGGGGGG